ATCGTGGATTTTTCATTTATTTATTATTTATAAAAAAAAACTAGGCAATTTCGGAGCTCGTGCAGTTTTGAATAATCAAATTTTCCATCGAATCGTATTTATCGTGGATTTTCCATTTATTTATTATTTATAAAAAAAAAAATTTCAGAGCTCGTGTAGCTTTGAATAATCAAATTTTCCATCGAACGTATTTTCCATTTATTTATTATTTATAAAAAAAATCCGACAATTTTGAAATTCGTACACCTTTGAACAATCATATTTTTGAACGTATTTATTTTCCATTTATTTATAAAAAAAAAATTAGACATATTTTGAAGCTCGTACACCTTTGATCAATCAAATTTTCCATCGAACGTATTTTTCATTTATTTATTATTTATAAAAAAAATCTGGCAATTTTGAAATTCGTACACCTTTGAACAATCATATTTTTGAACGTATTTATTTTCCATTTATTTATAAAAAAAAAATTAGGCATATTTTGAAGCTCGTACATCTTTGATCAATTAATTTTTCCATCGAACGAATTTATCGTAGATTTTTCATTTATTTATTATTTATAAAAAAAATCTGGCAATTTTGAAATTCGTACACCTTTGAACAATCATATTTTTGAACGTATTTATTTTCCATTTATTTATAAAAAAAAAATTAGGCATATTTTGAAGCTCGTACATCTTTGATCAATTAAATTTTCCATCGAACGTATTTATCGTAGATTTTTCATTTATTTATTATTTATAAAAAAAATCCGGCAATTTTGAAATTCGTACACCTTTGAACAATCAAATTTTCGTATTTATTGTGGATTTTCCATTTATTTATCATTTATAAAAAAAAAAAAAAATCCGGCAATTTCGAAGCTCGTGCACCTTTGAACAATCAAATTTTCCATCGAACGTATTTATCGCGGATTTATCCGACTAAATTTATGAAGAAACGAGCAATTTCGAAGCTCGTGCGAGCAAAAAATGGAAACGAGACGCCCTGGCGAATTAAACGAATCCTGGCGAATGAAATTTTCCGTCGAACCATCGTATTTACTTATCGTGGATTTTCCATTTATCTATACATCTATACATCTATACAGAGGGAGGAAAAAGTTAAGCAATTTCGCCACGGATTACCGTATCATCGGAGTTAATTTCGTTCTAATTTATATTAATGCTCGGCGAGTGAACGGCCGGTTATTAAAATTCCTTTGTATTTGCAATTTAGATCGATGGTGGAGAGAGGTTAGCGGGCGGAAGTAATTTGCGCGAGCATTTTATGGACAAATTAGTCCCCGTTTATCGGGCATTTACGCGCGTTTAAAATTGATAAGCCTGTTCGAGGGATTGGTTAGATAGGTCATAACGAGGTTAATTTCTGATTAACTGTGTTTCAACTGTGATAAATTAACCTGTGTTCTTCGTATATATATTTTCCATGGAAATGGATCAAACGACATTTCTTCGAAAAAAGAAATGTCTCTTAAAATATCGGACGAAATAATGATTAAAACAAAAAAAAAAAGAAAAATCGATCGAACTTCATTTAAATCACTAAGATTGACTAACTCGACCCGTGTTTATTCAAGGGAGAAGAGATTAATGAGATGTAATCCACGTAATCGAACGAAAAAGAAGAAGAAGAAGAAGAAGAAAGAGAAGAAGAGAGAGAGAGGGAGAGAAGAGGTGTGCAATAGCTTGTTAACGTATTAGCTTTTTCAACACGCTAATCCATCTTTTCGCGCGTTCATTTTCTACCTCGTTACAAACTTTTATTTAACGAGCGAGCGGTTTGCTACGCTTCCCGTGTTGTCCGCCGCTTTCATCGCTGCAAACTCTCGCGCTTTGTATAACTCATTGCTTTCCACCCTCCCTCGAAAAGAAACAATCGACCAACAAGAATCGATCCTTTCCGCGATCTTCTTTTACTCCCCCCTACCTTTACCTTTCGTCCATTTCTTTTTCTCGATTTTCCTTCTTCTCGAGCGAAACTTTCCCGATTTTTTTTTCGTTCGAAACGAACCGTCACAATGGGCGCGCAATTACACAAGGGGGAACGCCTTATTTAAATCTGGTTTAAATAAAGCAGACGGGGATAAAGCGGAGACAAACGGAGTTGCACAAGTTCGAGGGCGGGGATTTCAAGTAAAATTGAATCTGAAAAGTTTTCTCTCCCAGATTCTCCGACCACGGTTTATCTTTACGTTTTCGACCGTATTTTTCGTCGTAAAAATGGAGGGAGGAGGGAAGGGCAAATTGTTCTCCCGTCCGTGAAAAGTAGATGGAAATTTATCGTCCTCGAGAATTGAACGTGGCGCGTTGTTACGATTACTTGAAATAGTTTAAAATAGAGTTCACCGCTCTCGAAATTCCCTTTCCCCTCGTTGGAAAACTGCGCTCCCCTTAGACCTTCCGCCGCATCCTTGCCACCATCGTGTCAAGGGCTCGATTAACCACGGAAATCTCGGGCGAAAACTGGGTCAGTTTGCGGAGGAGAGCTTTATTTACCCTCGCGAATCAATATCTCGCGGATGCGCTATTAATCTTCTTCCACAACGCTTCATCTTTCCGCAACCCTCGAAACTTCGAAGCTTTAAAATTCCATTCTTGCAAATTGTATCCTTGATTCGCAACGACACATTGTTGGAAAGTTTGCGGAAGACAGAAAGTCGAGGAAAAAAATTCTTCTCCGTCCGCCATCTAGATAACGAGGAGGAGGAGGGGGATGAGCAGCGGGAAAAAATAAATTCCAAGCAAAAGTGGACAAAAGTTTCTCCACTTTGTTTCCTTTTTTTTTCTTTTTTAAACGTCTCGTATCTCATCCTCGCCCCGTTTTATCGCCCGTTTATTATCCTCGTTTTCCACGAGGAAAATATTCTTTCCTCCGTCGCTTCCTCTCTCCTTCTCTCGAACAAAATTTTCCTTTCTCCAAACTTGCACAAAGACTCGAGCTCGAAACGAAACGTCGTACGATCGATCCATCCAGTAATAAATTTGGCCGATCCTTTTTTTAATTGCAGAAGTTGCAACTCTCAAACTTGTTTCCCGCGAGATTTCTTTTTTTTAATTTATTTCGAACCCACTTCTCAACTGTAATCGCGCCCCTTCATTCAACATTCCGGCAATAAACTTCTCCTTTGAAAAAGGATTTTTCTTTCTCAACTACTGCTTTTTTTTTTTTTTTGTAATATTGAATCCATGTGATTTGCATACTTGCCACGAAAATTTGCCACGAAATCGCGCTCCTTCGATCGATTATAACGCACGCATCCTCCTCAGAAGCAGAGATTCCTCGCGTTTTTTCACGAAACGTACATCGAAATTATCAAACTTTTCTTTTTGATGCCTTTGAACCCTCGTCATCCTTCGCAAAGTGGGTGGCCTTTTCATCCGTTTGGATAATTATTGGCCGAGATTATTATCAGCCGAGTAGAAAGAGAAAATAATTTCTTTCCCTCCTTCTTTTTTTTTTTTTNATTCCAAATCAACCAGAAATAAAATTGGCGAAGGATATTCTTTCCCTCCTTCTTTTTTTTTTTTTATTCCAAATCAACCAGAAATAAAATTGGCGAAGGATATTCTTTCCCTCCTTCTTTTTTCTTTTTATTCCAAGTTAACCAGAAGTAAAATTGGCGAAGGATGGGAGAAAAGTCGGTGGAAGGGAAGGGTGACCGGTCGGTTTTCACGGTCGTTTATTGCCGCGTTCTCTGGGTCACTGGGCGCATTTTCGCGGGTGCACGCACCCCACGCAATAAATTTCCTCGATTTACGTCGATGACCTCGATGGCCGAACGAACGAAAGGAGTGAAGCTTCTAAGGGACGATGACGGTTTTAAAGATCGAATCCAAATCCAAAGCGGAAGATTCGATCCCCATCGAATTAATTGCAAGTGAATAAGTATTTTTTTAAAATGAATAAGATGTAAAATAGATCGATGATTCTCTTCGATAAAATCGAATCCTATAAATCATCGTGTCACAATCGATTGTTATTTCGAAACAAACGGCTCGCCTCACTACTTAATTAATCGAACACACGCTCTATAAAATCTCGCTCTATAAGTTTCTCGCTCGTCGTGAATCGTGGACGATAACGAGAGTACAAAATTTAATCAAGATTAATTACCATCTGCTCGCCTATTGGCGATAATTTCGAAACAAAGCTTACTCGATCGATTAATCACGAATCGAATCGAATCGTCATATCGTTCGACGATTCGCTCAATTTACTTCCACCAGTTTCCATTCTTTCTTTCCTTCTTTTTCTTTTTTTCTTCTTCAAAAAACATTCAATATCGATTTATCTTATTCTTATCGGTCTCGGTTGGATTTTGTTCTCGTCCTCCCTTCCCCTTTTTAATGTCCTCTTTATTAACGGTGATCAGCTTTTAAGGGATTGGAGAAGCGGCGGTTTAACGAACGTGATTCGGCAGCTCGATTTTATGGATAAAATCGGGGGGCGATTAAATCGGTTTTGCCACCGAGTCTCACGTGCAATTTTAATCTAAATTAAGAGGAGGGAGGGAAAGAGAGAGTCGGTGTAACGACGGATTACAATGTATATTACGTTAATGAGAGCCTCGCGGTTCCACGTGTTTCAATTTTTCGAAATTGATATAGGGGGGGATGTTCGTTAAGACATCTTCTTTCCAAACTTTTTCTCCTTTCTTCCCTCAACTCTTCGATAACGCATATTTATCCCGATTTCGTTCGGCTTCTCGATTATAATATTCGAGGACAGATATTCGTCATTTAATGATAATAAATCTTATCACCGTCCTTTATCGACGAAAACGGTTTTTTAACCGAGGTTAAATTAATAATCGTATGGATACTTTCTTCTTTATTCTCTTCGACTCGTAATCTCGTTTCTTGCGGAGAATATCCATCGATATTTCCAGAAACGAGATCGTTTCGAGGGAAAAAAAAGATGAAAGAAGTCGAAGAGGGAAGAAGAAGAAGAAGCAAGAAACGATGGTTGTGAAAAGAATCACGTTTTGGTTTCAGGACACGATGATGGACTGCGAGGGTGACGCAGGAGGGTTGGACGAGCTGGTCGAGCTCGCGACCGACGTCGCGGATTCATCCCCGACGATTCGAGGTAATTAAACTTTCATTCTTCGTTCCCTCCTCCTCCCTTTCCCCCTCCTCCTCCCCCTGCACCCTGAACGGGAGGGCGAACAGGATGTTTTCGTTTAAAGAGGGGAAGGGCGCGCAATTAGGGGCGCGATCGAGCACCACTTCGAATCCCTCGAAATGTTCGGGGCGCGATCGGGCCGTTTATTAACAATCGGGTCAATTAAAACGAAGGGGATGGATAATCTTTCTCGAGGAGACGAGAGAAAAATCTTCTCTTTCTCGAATTATTATTATTTCTTTTCCTCCCCTCCCCTCTTTCCTGAAGATAGAATAATCACGACGCAAGTTTGGTCGATCTCGTTTCCCCTCCTCTCTCTCTTTTTCTCGATGATATAATATCATTATCCCTGGAGGCGTTCATAAAGAGCGCAAACAAGTTTCTTGCAATTCAAATTGCTTTCCTTGGAATATCCTCGTTTCCATTTCTATTCCTAACTACCCCCCTTGTTTTACACTACTACCTTTCCCCACCCTTTCATCCCTCTGCGGTGGAAACCGGTGTGCATTCGCGCACTTTATTTGCTCGTTAATTAGATTGTCGGGGGAAGGAAGGGGTATTAAGAGAGAGAGAGAGAGAGAGAGAGAGAGAGAGAGAGGAAGAGAATAGGTTGGC